CGGACACGGCTAACCAAGAGGGCGATAACCAGACAAAGGCCTATCTCTACGCCCTGGGCGTGATCTTGACCAGCGCCTTCAACGTGCTCTTAATGCATCCGTACATGCTGGGCATGTTCCATGTTGGTATGAAGGCCAGAATTGCCATGACAAGTAAGTTGGAGTTGGAGTTGGAGCAGCGAATGGTTCTTTATTGTGACACATGAATAATGATCCCCCTGCAGGCATGATATATCGGAAGGCGCTGCGCTTGAGCCGAACGGCACTGGGCGACACCACCATCGGTCAGGTGGTCAATCTCATCTCGAACGATGTGGGCAGGCTGGACGTCTCCGTCATCCACATGAATTATTTATGGCTCGGCCCCGTGGAGATTGGCATTATCACATATCTCATGTACAGGGAGGTAGGTTATCTATCTACGTTGTTTGCCACTTAAGAGAAGAACAAAGCTTCCTGAACTCGAGTCAAGTTGCTTGTTTAAAAAGAAAACATTGTAATTTAAATCTATATATAGACTATTGATTTTCCTTCGAGTCCATTAGGTATAGATTACTAAAGAAAACTTCTTCCCTTTACAGATTGGGATCTCCGCCTTCTTTGGCGTGGCTGTGATGTTGCTTTTTATCCCACTGCAGGCTTATTTGGGCAAGAAGACCTCTGTGCTTCGATTAAAAACCGCCCTGAGAACGGATGAACGAGTGCGCATGATGAACGAGATCATCTCGGGCATTCAGGTGATCAAGATGTACGCCTGGGAGATTCCATTCAGCAAAATGATCAACTATGTACGCACCAAGGAGATGAATGCCATCCGAAATGTGAACTATATTCGTGGCACACTGCAAAGTTTCATTATGTTTGTGACGAGGATTTCGGTGTTTGTGAGCTTGGTGGGCTTTGTGCTGCTGGGAAAGCTGCTGACCGCTGAGAAGGCTTTCGTGATCACCGCCTACTATAATATCCTGCGCAACACCATGACCGTCTACTTCCCCATGGGCATCTCACAGTTCGCGGAGCTCTTGGTCTCGATCAAACGTATCCAGACCTTCATGCTGCATGAGGAGACCAAAGTGCGAGACAAGTCTGAGGATCTGGACGAGCAGAAGCTGGGCAAAACGGGTCTTATCACCGATCCCGCTTTGGCCCAGACCACTGGAGTCTTGAAGCCCGATAGCCGGCGCAGCAGTGCAGGGGAGCCTAGTATCAACATCAGCAAGCTGAAGGCCAAGTGGGATCCAAAGAGCACCGATTACACCTTGGACAACATCTCCCTGAAGTTCAAGCCCCGTCAATTGGTGGCAGTCATTGGCCCAGTGGGCTCCGGCAAATCCAGTTTGATTCAGGCTGTGTTGGGTGAGCTGAACCAGGACTCGGGATCAGTAAAGGTTAACGGCACCCTGTCCTACGCCTCCCAAGAACCCTGGCTCTTTACCGGCACTGTGCGACAAAACATTCTCTTCGGTCTGCCCATGGACAAGCACCGCTATCGCACCGTGGTGAAGAAGTGCGCATTGGAGAGGGACTTCGAGCTGCTGCCGTATGCAGACAAGACCATTGTGGGAGAACGTGGAGCCTCGCTTTCAGGCGGTCAAAAGGCGCGCATCAGCTTGGCTCGAGCTGTGTACCGGAAGGCGGATATCTACCTGTTGGACGATCCCCTCAGTGCCGTGGACACGCATGTTGGTCGTCACTTGTTCGATCAGTGCATGCGGGGATTCCTGCGAGAGGAAATCGTACTGTTGGTGACCCACCAACTGCAGTTCCTGGAGCAGGCCGACGTCATAGTAATCATGGACAAGGGCAAGATCAGCGCCATGGGCACCTATGAGTCTATGTGCAAAAGTGGTCTAGACTTTGCCCAAATGCTGACGGATCCCAGCAAGAAAGACGAAGGTGCAGGCGATGCAGCGGATAAGAAGAGCCTTTCCCGTCAAAATAGCAAGCTGCGGGACCGACACGGCAGCATCTCGTCCATGGAGTCTACCGCCGAATCCTTGGCAGCGGAGTCGCCTATGCAGACGCAGGAAACTCGAGTGGAGGGACGCATCGGAATGAAACTCTACAAGAAGTACTTTGGGGCCAATGGCTATGGACTGTTTATTGTGTTTGCATTCTTCTGTATTGGTGCCCAGATACTGGCCTCTGGTGGTGATATATTCCTGTCTTACTGGTGAGTTTACCTATACATTTTTATGAATTAATTATTATTAACGATGTAATGAATGAATTTAAGGGTAAACAAAAACGGCGAGGCCGAGCGCGATACATTTATGGCCCGTCTGCGGCGCGCATTCCCTGAAACCCGCATCAATGCAGACACGGACCCCATAGACATTTACTATTTTACCGGCATCAATGTTTCCGTCATCGTCTTTTCCCTGGTTCGAAGCATGCTCTTCTTCTACCTGGCCATGCGTAGCTCCACAACCCTGCATAACACGATGTTCCAGGGCGTGACGCGGGCGGCAATGCACTTCTTTAACACGAACCCCTCCGGCCGTATCCTAAACCGCTTCTCAAAAGACTTGGGACAAGTGGACGAGATTCTTCCGTCCGTGATGATGGACGTGATGCAGATTTTCCTCGCCATTGTGGGTATCGTGGTTGTCCTGTGCATCATTAACGTCTGGTATATCCTGGCTACTGTCTTCCTGGTTATAATTTTCTACATACTGCGAGTCTTTTATCTAAACACGTCCCGAGATGTTAAGCGCCTCGAAGCTGTCAGTAAGTGGAGAAACTTTAATTATATTTAGAAATTTATTTGTTTATTTATTTATACCTTATAATACCTTCTTCATCCACAGCCCGATCACCCATTTACTCTCACTTGAGTGCCTCCCTTAATGGCCTGGCCACCATCCGAGCTTTTGGAGCGCAGAAAGAACTGATAGCGGAGTTTGACAATTACCAGGATATGCACAGCTCTGGCTATTACATGTTCCTGGCCACGAGTCGAGCCTTCGGCTACTGGCTAGACTGTGTATGCGTCGTCTACATCGCCGTTATCACGCTGAGCTTCTTCCTGTTCTCCCCGGAAAATGGCGGAGATGTGGGCTTAGCCATCACCCAGGCAATGGGCATGACCGGTATGGTGCAGTGGGGCATGCGACAGTCGGCAGAGCTGGAAAACACTATGACGGCAGTGGAACGAGTTGTGGAATACGAGGATCTGGAGCCGGAGGGTGACTTTGAGTCGCAGCCGAAGAAGAAGCCGCCAAAGGACTGGCCAGAGGATGGAAAGATTGTGTTCGACAACCTGTCACTGAAATACTTCCCCGACAAGGCGGCTGATTATGTGCTCCGATCCCTGAACATTGCCATCGAAGGCTGCGAGAAGGTGGGCATCGTGGGACGCACCGGGGCCGGAAAGTCTTCATTGATCAATGCTCTATTCCGCCTGTCCTACAACGAGGGAGCCATCTTGATCGACAGGCGCGACACTAACGATCTGGGACTCCACGATTTGCGCAGCAAGATCTCCATTATTCCCCAGGAACCGGTACTCTTCTCGGGCACAATGCGCTACAACCTGGATCCCTTTGACGAGTACAGCGACGCCAAGCTATGGGAATCCTTGGAGGAGGTCAAGCTTAAGGATGTGGTGGCCGATCTGCCCAGTGGCTTGCAAAGCAAAATCTCCGAGGGTGGAACCAACTTCAGCGTTGGCCAGCGCCAGCTGGTATGTTTGGCTAGGGCCATCCTCCGCGAAAATCGAATCCTGGTGATGGACGAGGCCACGGCGAACGTGGACCCACAGACGGATGCTCTCATCCAGACGACGATTAGGAACAAGTTCAAGGACTGCACAGTGCTCACCATAGCCCATCGTCTGCACACGGTAATGGATTCCGACAAAGTCTTGGTCATGGATGCCGGCAGGGCAGTGGAGTTTGGCTCACCTTTTGAACTGCTCACAACCAGCGAGCAGAAGGTGTTCCACAGCATGGTGAAGCAGACGGGTGACTCGACATTCGATGCCTTGCTCAAAGTCGCACAAAAGGTGAGTAAACTCTGAAAACATCGTAGAGTATTTGTCTCACTTTTCTATTTCCAGGCCCATGAGGAGAACTTGCGGCTGAAGAAGGACTCTTGACATTTCGCCGTTCCGAAGGCCTTCAAAGACTACATACTTAAGATACTGGAACCAATTACGAATCATCCAGCGGCCAATGCGGGCATACAGAAGACCTTCCTCTTTGCGGAGGCCTCAAAGCAGAAGTTATTAGGATAGCACAGTAGCAGTGGCGGCAGCAGCAGCAGACATCCGCACTGAGCAGCCGCCGAGGAATTTTTTTACAACTTAAATGTACAAAACAAATTAACTGTTAGTTACCAGGTGTATAAAACTAAGAAACAAAAGATGGGAAATCAAACAGCAAGACAATAAGCTGAAGTAGGAGAAGTATATGGCAACGTCCACCAGCACAGTTTAATAAGTTATCCTTAGGCTTTGCTTTGAAAACATTTTGAAAAATAATGGTACCGGAAATGGAAGATATTCCCCCTCCTGATTCGATTCTGTAAAATAATAATAGATTGTGCTGGTGAACGTCACCAATGTTTTTATACCTTAAAAGAATAGAAAGAAATGTAATGAAAATTGTGCAATAATTAATTTTAGCTGAACTTTTTGCAGTGGCCTTCAAAAGGTCGCATTGCATTTGTATTATGTGTTCCAGTAAAACGACAATAACAATCCCTAAAAAGAAACAAAAAACAAAATCACAAAAAAAAGGATGAAGAATTCTAAGAAATGTTACGCCTAGTATTAACATATATGTGTGTGTTTTTATAGTAATTTATTAATGTACAGGTATACAATAAATGTAACAGCTCGGTTGGCTCTTTTGTTAATCCATTAACATTTTTATTTCATATTTCACATTTAGCGCAAACTGTTATATACTCTAAGAAATTTTACGCATTTAACTCAAAAAGTATCTTCCATTAGCTGCAAAGCCCTCCTAGAGTTCTCTTTTAAAACTAGAACAATATTAAATGTATCATACTATTAATATTATTACTGCCAGCGCACTAAGAGTAACGCAGACTAACGCAGAATGTATTTATCATTTATAGCTGATATATATATGTTTAACTTGGCTTAGCTTTAGTTGCCCCCCGACGACATAGCTGTTCGGTATGTGCTATATTTAAGATATAAATAAGTCGGCCTGCTTTCCTCCTTAAAAGACCAGGGACAGCCACGCGGCCATTAGGCAGAATCCTCCAACGGTTGCGTATGGTTGCAGCCGCTTCTCTCCAGTTAAGGCGCGGTAATACATGCAGCCGCTGAACAGCACTGTGCCTGTTGCCATTAATATGCCAGTCTATGGAGAGAAAGAAGATACATTTATTCAAAATATTCACAAGAACACACAACATCTCATGGAGGCCTGTTCTGATTTTAAATTGACAAAAAAAAAATGCAACAGACCTTTAAAAAAAACCCTTGAGCCAAACATATTAAAGAATTTATAGTGTAACAACAAAAAAAGTATATAGAACAAGATAAGATTCCAACAAAGTGCTCAAAACATTTACCTAAATATTGATTATTCTGTTAAAAATAAGATTTCATTTGAAATTAACCAAGCAAAATTCGGAACAGGCCCCCTAGTTATAGTATATTCAAGATCAAAGCGTATAGAAGACGAAAAGAGTTTTGTGTGCGTATTTTGATGTTAGCTTTAGTTGTTGGCTTTAACCCGAACAAAAAGAGGGCGCAAAACAGGCTCCATATTTTACTTATCGAATAAGGCTGATAAAAAAAAGAAAAACAATTACAAAATAATAGTAAACAAAACAAAATCATAAATATCTATACCTTTTTGGTACATTTTTAAATACAAATGTTTAATATTGAAAATGAGAGAAATTAAGAAAATTCCTACACAACCCCGAACCCATATCAGCTATGAACCTGCTCCATATCACAAAATAAACAGAAAATTAACCCAATTAATGCAAGTATACAAGTGTATCGTGTGTGGAAATGAGAATTACTTTGTAAGCTGCAATTAGTGGTTGTTGAACATTTAGCTTTAGCTTTGAAAACATTTCATATACATAAACGTACGCATACCTATTATATATAAATATATACATATATATAAAGAATGAAAGCAAGAAGCGGAAACCCAACTCATTCATAGCTCAATTTTTGTAATGTCAATCAACGCATTAGACTAGCTAAGCAGGATGTCAATTATACGATTGTTGGAGTTTCGATTTCGATTCGAGAGTAACGCGAGTTGTTATAAATTCCGTTCAGAGATCTAACTTTACACAGAGTTTATGTAAACAAGAAAACCATCAAACAAAAGCTTTACAAATAAACTAAACACGATCCAGATCGATTTTATAATGCTGGGATTATTTGAGGGGTGGAGAAATCCTCAGAGAAATAAACGATATAACAAGGAAACCTTTATCTAGTTAAAAAAAAAATTAAAGAATAAAATGGGAATGTCCTTAATCAAATGAATATGCCTTTCATAGAACCGATTGATAAATTAATATATATATAATGTACATACATATATATTCTATCTGACAGAACTGGATTGATTTCTAATAATCTGATTGCAACCTGCAAGAGTACACAAACTTCGGAGTGCCGAAGATTAATTCCTTTACTGATTCGGTATATTACCGCTTTTGTGTAACTGTTCTTTGCGATCTTGGCTTTCAACTTACGAATACTGGAAAGTGGGCCAAGGGCAGGGCCATCAAGGCGAAGGAGTGCAGAAAGTGAATGCGGTTGGCTACATCGGCGAAGGCCTGCGAATCCATCTGCTCTTTGGGGTCTCCGATATCCTTTAGAATGTACTTGCAGTAGGCGCCCATGAAAATGGCCGATGCTCCGCCAATCCCGGCAAGACGCACGAAGTGGTAGTGACTACCGGCGAGACAGTACAGTGAACCGTGCGGATGCACGTATTGATGTATGGATGGTTGGACCTGCATTAGGGAATCCTGTACTGAAACCTGCTTTGGACGCAGTCCCTGCAAGCGAAAAATTAAACTTAATGCGTAGAGTGTAGGGAGCCTAGAGCTCCCGATTGTTTACCATAGTGCGGAGCAAGGCGGATGCGCTTGAGAGGACCATCTTGCTGACAGGATTGCCCAGGGTGATGTAGTCGATTGTGTCGCAGAGTGACATGTTAATGTTGCTGTGTTATACTGTTGCCCAAACTCCGTTTGCCGCTGGTCAAGGCAGCTGCTTTTACAAAAATTTTGATGCCAACTAACTGGGTGTTGCCAGATCGTCGGCTATCGTCGTTGCTTCCAATGGTTTTATTTGCAACACACTGAATTTCAGACCTAATAGGAATTTATTCTTGATTAATGTAAGACAAACGAATACTACATAGAGTTTACGAAATAATCAACTAATGCTCAGCATTCCAGATCAGAGAAATTTCAGCAAGTTTAACTTAAAGCGAAAGACTGTCAACGAAGTTTGAATTTGCCAACTGTTTTTTTTTTATTGAATTTTGAAGAATCTGCAAAGTTGGTACTTTCAATCATAGTGGTGGTAGTTGACCAAAAACACTCATCGATAAGTAAAATCCCAAAAAATCGATATCAACGTAAGAAATAACTATACGCTGTCGCTTTTTTTAGTTTTTGCGACTTTTAGATTCCCATACCGTATAGAAGACGCGGAATTTAAACATGTAAACGTACGTGGCTTAATATTAAAAAATTACTCTACTCTATATTCAATTCGATAGTTGGCCAAAATCAAAGTTCAATCACAACAGATATTTTTAAACTTGGCAACCCTGCGAACTGACCGCTACGGCTGCACTGAAAATAATCCGTTGCGTAGTCGACGTATTTTGCCGGCTTGCGAAAAGAGACGAATTGCAAGAACTTTGATTATTTATAAAAAAAAAACTGAATACTCTTATCAGCCGATTGGTGAGTAGGTCGGGGCGTAAACCCTTCAACGCTGAAACAAAGCAAAGCAATCACGGACCATTCCGCTCTTCTCTTTAGTTCAAGCAGAACAGCCGAACGATGAATATTGCAACTCATTGCGCATTTTTAATAGTGGTGGCTATATGCAGCGCCGTGGGAGAAGGGGGGCGCCCTTCCTATAGAAGAAGCTTTATCAATCCGTATCCGCGATACCGGTATTTCGAGGACGGTGTCGATCCTGGTGAGCCTCTTTTCCTCACGCCGCTGATCAACAATGCCTCCATGCCCAAGGCGGATGTGCAGAAGCTGGCCCGCGTCATCGGCTCGCAGTTTCATGGTGTGGAGAGCTACTCCGGCTACCTGACAGTGGATCCGGGCTACAACTCTAACATGTTCTTCTGGTACTTCCCTGCCGAGCAGGAGCCAGAATATGCCCCTGTGGTTCTCTGGCTTCAGGGCGGCCCAGGAGCCTCTTCTTTGTTCGGTTTGTTTACTGAAAACGGTCCCATCGAGCTGGACAGCCATGGAAAACCACAGAGGCGTAACTGTACCTGGAGCAAGACACACAACCTGATCTATATCGACAATCCCGTGGGAACCGGATTCAGTTTTACCGATAATGAGGCGGGCTATGCCAAGAACGAAAGGGATGTGGGCCGCAATCTCCACGAGGCCGTGATGCAGCTGTACGAGCTATTTGAATGGAGCAACTCCACTGGGTTCTGGGTCACAGGCGAGTCCTACGCCGGCAAGTATGTGCCAGCCTTGGCTTACCACATTCACAAGGTGCAGAATGCCATCGAGACGCGAGTCTATGTGCCGCTCAAGGGGGTGGCCATTGGAAACGGACTGTCGGATCCACTACACCAGCTCAAGTACGGCGATTATCTCTACCAACTGGGTCTAATCGATGACAATGGCTTGCGGAGTTTCCACGAAGCCGAGGCGAAGGGAGCCGAATGCATCAAGAAGCATGACATGGAGTGTGCCTTTGACGTCTTTGACTCACTGATCAACGGGGATTTAACCAATGGCTCCCTGTTTAGTAACCTTACGGGCTACAACTGGTACTACAACTACCTTAAGACGCACGACGACGATGGCGCCGGATTGGGCGACTTCCTACAGGCAGGCGCCACACGTCGGGCCATCCATGTGGGTAACAAACCGTTCCACGATCTGGACAAGGAAAACAAGGTGGAAATCCATTTAAAGAAGGACGTCATGGACACCGTGGCTCCCTGGATTGCTGAACTGCTGGCTCACTACACTGTGTGCATCTATAGCGGCCAATTGGACATAATTGTGGCTTATCCGCTGACTCGCAACTACCTCAAAGAACTCAAGTTCCCGGGCTCTGACAAGTACAAAGTGGCTCCTCGAGAGATCTGGCGCATCGATAACGAGGTGGCTGGTTATGTGAAGCATGCCGGCCACTTGGTGGAGATCATGGTGCGTAATGCTGGTCACATGGCTCCCCACGATCAACCCAAGTGGCTATACGAGATGATCAATCATCTTACTCACTACAAGCACTAGGAGTCGGATACTCAAAGGTGTGGCGTCTCAACATTTGGCATTCTTTTAAAATTTCTATATTTTTAAATTCTTATCTTGAATAAATAATGTTGAGTTTTAAAATATTTGAGAAAATGTTTGGTTAAATATTTTATAATATAAATGCCAATGTTTTCAAATGGTGTTTCCTAGATTTTCTGTAAAGAACTCTTGTTTCGCTCATAATATCAATTAAAACACAAAGATCTAAGAAACAACGTTTTTATGAATACAATAACTTAACCAATTAACTACTACTATCTACAGGCCCCTTATATCCCCTGGCCACCAGGAAGTGCTCCGCCGAATCACCACGGCTGGCACGCGGCTTAACACGCTTCACTTTCTCATAGAAGCGCAGCATGTCGCGCTCCAGCTTGGGAACATCTCCATTATCCCACACCTTGACCACCAAATGGGCCTGGGGCGCGGACATGACCAGTGCAAAGCGGAGCACCTCGTAGCAGAGGTTCGTAATACTCTCCTGGTCCAGCATCCGAACGCCTGTGGCATTTGGCGCCATGTCGGAAAGCACACAGTTGACCCTTCGCTCGTTTAGGGATTCGCGCAACCGCTGCTGTGCCTTGGAGGTGGTAAAATCCATGCCGCCGAAGATTGTGGCTCCGGGCACCGCATGGAAGTGCAACAGGTCAATACTGAACACTGCTCCCAGTGGCGCCTTTTCCTGTTTGCCATTTGCGTTGGTCCGCTCCACCGCCACTTGGGTCCAGCTGCCTGGTGCTGCCCCACAGTCCAGAACCGTATCTCCAGGTAGCAGGATTCCATATTTATCGTCGATTTCCAGCAGCTTGAAGGCACTCCGGCAGCGGTAGTTCATCATCCGGGCCTTCTCCACGTACGGATCCGCCAACTGGCGGGTGAGCCACTCCTGGGAGCTCTTGCTGCGGCCCTTGAGGTTGCGCGGTTGCTGTTTGGCATTGTTCCCACCGACATTCGTGTGGAGCAGGCGTTTAAAAACAAAATTACCCGTAAAAACAAGACGCATTGTGTAATTTATCGATAACTGTTAAAACTCACTATCGATAATGGTTGAGTGATGGTAATTTTTATAGATGCACGCCATGGTCACACCGGCACGAATCAAGCATATTCAACAACCAACCACCCGGTCATACTACTCAAACTACTCAACAATGGCGAATAATGGAATTTTTTGATCGCGAGTGCGAAGAAAATGTTAACTTAAATTCAGCTAGAGCTGCAAGAGTGTCCCCAGATTGAAAAGCAATAAAATAGGCAATAACATGCCAGAAACAACAAACAAAGAGTGACTGCGAGTGCAATTGAAAACGGAACGGAAATCGCAAATATTTGTTCACGGCCCCTCTCTCTCACGCTCTTTCTTACCCCACCCACCCCCGACCGGCTGCCGGAGCGCACAGTGTTTTGCAAAATGAGATTCTGCGTTGTGGCTTATTGTTGCGTGTTTTTCTTGCTGGCCAGCGGGCATATTGCATCAGCTACCGCCAAAGCAAAACAAACCGACTCGGCAGAAGTCGTTAGCAGCGGCGAGGATGACAAGACGGTGAGTGGACGTGAACACACGGGTATAGGGGCGGTACGCATGACCCACTAAGGGTGGTGGACAGTAGCCTATCAATTAATATTTCATCACGCCGCCGATATATGTTGGTCATATTAGTAAGCCACCTTTTCCTCCCCACCGCAGGACTGCACGGACCTCGCCCGGGACGAAGAGGCCCTCATGGTGTTCTCCACTTTGGGCGGCGGACTGACTGCCATCGATCCGGTGACCAGTGAAATACGCTGGACAATAGCAGATGGTAATTACGTGCACCATTTAACGGTTTTCAATTTGCCACTGCACCCCCATTTTCCGAGTTTTCCAGAGTGTGTGGGACTTGAAACATGTGGGAAATAGAAAGGAGGTTGTTGATTATGCCAACCTATTTTTTGTAGTTTTTAAAGGTTTCCATTTAAGGGTAAATACGATTGGAATGATAAAATGGGATTACAAAATCAGTCAGACGAGTATTCATCTATTGGCATTCTATTTGATGAAACTCTGTAGATACATCTATGACATCTATATAAAATAATTTCAAATTTACTTAATTTTTACAAAGTTATCCATAAAACCCTTCAAAAACTCGTAACAAAAACATTGTAATTTGCATTGCAAATTCCGCCTTAACCTGTAGCTTAAAAATAGCTTAACCATTAAATATACCATTGCCAATTTATGGGCATAGTTTTCCTATACTGGAAGAAGTGTTCTACTTCCACAGGCTGCGTTGCACTTGCAATTTAAAGTGCGAAATGCATTTCACAAACATGCGGCTCGATGAGCTCATCGGAGCACACGAATAGTACAGCTGTTGTCGCGTAGGATAGGAAAGATCTTTCTCCCGCCACTCTGGTGCTGTATTAATTTTCACTCTCATCGCGTTATGTTTTGAACGGTGCCTAGAGGCCTGATAACAGACCCACGTATATACGCAATCTCGACAGGCGTTCTCCGGCACACAATTCCTTCAATTAAGTGTTGCCGCGATACCACCACCACCAGTTGCTCATACCCTTTCTATAGTGGGTGGTTCGAACTTTGGAGCCATTTTCCCTTCCGTCTAGTTTAATGAATATATTTCCTATGCTCATCAGCGTGACGTATTGATTTTTAATGGCAACAACGTGTTAATCTTGCCCCCGAATAGCTTTACCCTATACAACTCGTAAGATTTTAGCCAGATACATATATTAACGTGAGTCACAATGACTGAAAGAGTGGGTTACTACCAAAACGATTAAAGTGGTTGGCGGGTGACTGACATAAAGATTCGTTATTGATTTCACATCTAAATGTTTACTGAACATATAGGTAAAATGAACTTCGGAAATATTTCTTTTAATATTCCTAAGTGATTTCGATTATTAGATTGTTGATATTAATCGTTAGCCCTACAAATAGAGCATTCAGAGATCACCCCTGCCATATACAAATGTTCTTTATTGACTTGTTTCCTAGTTCTCTTAGGCTCCCGCTATTTATAGTACTCTCGGGTTTGTGATTGTATTCCGTTTTCAATTCTTTAATTTTTTGATAAGAATTGCTTGAAAACTCCGTCATTAGCTTCAAGTTAGAAAGCATTGGGAGTATGCCAAATGACTCCCTAGACAATAATTAGGTTTTTTCCCCTAAACACATGTTTTGTTTAAACATTTTTAATACACAAAAACCCACGCCCCGTAAAGATTGTTTTATGTGATAGCACTGCAATGTACATGCCCATATGTATGTCCATTCGTATTATTAGATATTTCATGCTGCCCGGTTGCCGTCTGTCTTCGTGGAACTGCAAATGATTGAACATTCTGGGCAATAGACATGTGGACAGCATCTGACCTGCGGTTCCCAAATGATCCGCATCCCAATTACAAATACAACGGAAAAATACCTATTTCAGTGACAGTTTTGTGAGTTGTTCAGGCCAATAATTTGTTTTTGATTCGCAGTAATTACTTCCAGCATGGAAGATCAGCGTATCGATAGGCCCTCGGTTCTATTACCTCATCCACAAGAGGGAATCAGGTTTTGTCTACCGACTACCGCTAGCTAATTAGAATGCCTATGCTAATGAAAGTGCTGCTGAGGCGGGTTAAATGACCTGCCCCAGAAATTGTGGCAACGGCAACATTCGATTAATGCCAAGAATTTTTACCGGGCCATGTGCTGGGACTGTAACTAATTACTGATAAGGATGATGGGTAATACTCCAAATTGTTTGCTTTCATTTCCTCGATATTTGTTCGAATTTGTTGGGACACTTCAGTGGGCTTGGTAATATATAACAATTTGCTAAAATTATTCCCTCATTATCTTGGCGGACATGCGTCGAGCATTTGCATTCGCCAAGTCATAATTTGACTCTGTTGCCTTAAGCGAATCGTTGGCGATAACAAAAATTGCCAACACGCCGATCCGGCGACGTAAACAACGTGGAAATAATCCGCCTTGGCTCTCTTTAGGTCTATGGTTCTTATTTACTCAACTGTTGTTTGGCTTGACATTGTCTCAGGCGGCAAAAAGCGCTTTATTTAAATTTATTTGGGAATTGAATTTTGTACTATGCTGGTGTGTGCTTGCTACCGTGTTCTTCCAAGGGGTTATTTTGTAGATTACACCGCTGTTCCCTTATATTGAAAGTACAACAAGATAAGCCTTATCGAGAACGAGTTCTAGTAATAATTTATTGCACTCGCTTCAGTCTACTTCGAATTACTCGCTAGAGTATCAAGAAATTAAAGGGAATGACATGTTTTAACAGTGCCTACAACAAATATTTAACTAAAAGGGGGTTTCCCATTTCAAACACGTTAATATGATAGATTCAAAGAAAATAGCGATTAAATAAACAAACTTACAAAGCTATTTTAAGCGTAACCACTTAAATTATAATGAATGTAATCTTATATAAGGCAAGGCACCTGTATTATAACTGTAGTAAACTTACTTTTTAATACACATACATATGTACACATACTATTCTCATTTGATTAGAGAATTGGAAACAAGTTTTCTTTTTCCCAAGGGTCAATTACTAAATTATTCATTTAAAAAAGAATGTGGTTCCATATTCTATTGGTTTGCAGTTTGATGCATTAAACTTACTGATACTTTATAATTTGTGACAGATATGAATTATGATTTACTCAAATTTCTGAGAAAACATTTAACAAATTTTTCATTCTGATTAATTTTTTGTTAAAAATGATTAGGAAATATTTATATGTTTGTTTTCGTATTGAAAGGTTTTTCGGGGAATTATTTTCAACATAAGCAATACAATGTCATACAAAGGCAAACATTTTTAAAAGACTAGATTACGAATGTTAATCTATTCGTTTTAGAAAAAGCTTCAAATTTAATAATCCTGAGATTCATTTTGAGATTTCCTTGCCAGAAACTTTGCTGAAAACGATACACGGATATGAATGGATTTATGTGGATCAAATCACTCGACAAAGACATCGAGTTACCAGTAAACTAATTTATATATTCCTTATTCTTATTCTAGATCCCCCCATAGTGGCAGAACCTCAGGAGAATCTACAGGTGCCCCACTTTTTGCCCGATCCCCGTGATGGCAGCATTTACCAGCTGGGTCAGATGGGTAGTCTCAAAAAGCTGCCATACACCATTCCCCAGTTGGTGGCCAATGCCCCCTGTCGCTCATCCGATGGCATCCTGTATTCGGGCAAGAAGAGCGACACCTGGTACATGGTGGATCCCAAGACTGGCAGGCGGGAAAAGGTGATGGGCTTCGGTGACGCCAGCATGGATGGCAAGGAGGGCGAACAGATTGGCTGGGCCACGTCGAGAGCCATCTATTTGGGCCGAACACAATACACAGTGATGATGTTTGATAGTCTGGCCAAGGACAAGAATGCCAAGCCCTGGAATATCACATTCTACGACTATAACGCTCTCAGCGCCCCACCAGAGCTGGCCAAGGAATATGGTAAGGCAAAAAACTAAACTATAACTGGTACAAGCTCTTATTTTATTTTTTCCGTTTCCAGAATACATCCATCTGACCACTACCACCAATGGTCATATAGTAACACTAGATCGCAAGCAGGGTAAATTTCTTTGGCAACGGGATCTTAGCAGTCCTGTGGTAGCCGCCTTTCTCCTGGGACCGGATGGTCTGCTTAGTGTGCCTTTTACCACGGTCTCCGATGAGGCGTACCAGGCCATTCTCGAGGAGTCCAAAAGGGGCAATGTGAATACCGTCAAGCTATTGTAAGTAAAACTATAATTTATTTCTAAATAAGATATGTATCCCTAATTCCTACATTATATCCTCTTTACCTTCACAGCCAATCTCTTTATGTGGGCGAGCACCAAAAGGGCTTGTATGCTCTGCCCTCACTGGTGGACAAAAATACTCCCCGTATTTCCACAACACCACCCATAAAACTTCTCGACGGACCCGCAGTCGGAGAGCAGACGTCTAATAGCCAGGAAACAGATCCGCGCACCATTTATATTAACGATGTCCTGCAGGAGCACCCAGGCATCATGCTGGGACACTATAATATGCCCAATGAGGGTAACACCGGCAACCTGCAGCTATCGCCAACGCCATCCAGCAAGGATATCCACAGCCTGGCCACCATACACAATTATAACGATGGCTATGGATTGCTGGCCAATAATGAGAAGAATGCCGCCGATATTGGCGTCCAAACTGACCCGGAGCTGGTGGAAATCGGCATTGATCAGCGTGCGAATGGTAATACCATAAACCGAACCAAGACAATCATTCTGCAGAACAGCAACAAGGTTCAGGCCTTTATCAACGAGTGGTTCATGGAGCATCCGAGCGGAAAGGTTCACCAGATTCTAATGGTAATCGTTCTGGGCATGATTGCCCTGTTCTGGTACACTTGTAGCACCATGAGGGAGTTGCAGAAGCAAAGCGAAAATGGCTCGAAGACCTTTGCTATTGCTCAGAACGGTTCCAATGGAAGCAACAACGGAAGCAACGGCAGCAACGCGAGTGCTCAGGATCTAGTTGACTTGGGCGGCGGTCAGGTGCGAGTGGGCAAAATCAGCTTCAACTCAAACGAGGTCTTGGGCAAGGGATGCGAGGGCACCTTTGTCTTCAAGGGTACCTTTGAGGAACGTTTTGTGGCCGTCAAGCGGCTGCTGCCAGAGTGCTTCACCTTTGCCGACCGGGAGGTGGCACTGCTCAGAGAATCGGATGCCCACGAGAATGTGGTACGTTACTTCTGCACCGAGCAGGATCGTCAGTTCCGGTACATAGCTGTGGAATTGTGCGCCGCCACACTGCAAGATTATACCGAGGGAGATCGATCGCTGGAACTGCAGAATCACATCGATGTGTGGCAGGTGTTGAGTCAGGCGTCCGCTGGATTGAGTCACCTCCACTCCCTGGACATTGTTCATCGGGACATCAAGCCACAGAATGTTCTCATCTCGCTGCCAGATGCCAAGGGCAAGGTGCGAGTAATGATCTCAGACTTTGGTCTGTGCAAGAAGCTTAATTTTGGCAAGACGAGCTTCTCCCGGCGATCGGGTGTTACAGGTACCGATGGCTGGATAGCTCCGGAAATGATGCGTGCTCAGCGAACGGTGAGTTGAAATTTGCTGTTTAGGGATCTCTTTGAATGGAAAGTAATATATTTCGTTTCTTTGTTTCTGCTTTACAGACAACTGCAGTGGATATCTTCTCCCTGGGTTGCGTCTACTACTATGTACTGAGCGGGGGTCACCATGCGTTTGGGGACAATCTGAAGCGTCAGGCCAACATACTCTCGCACGAGTACAATCTGTCCAAGCTGCGTGCCGAAGATCAGACTGAGAACAGCCGAATTGTAAGCAATGATAGATTACTTCATCTAAATGTATATTAACAAACTTATTTCATCTTTCAAAGGTATTAGCTGAGCAGCTGATTTCGGACATGATACACAAAGATCCTATGGCTCGTCCTCCAGCCCGCTGTATTGGCAACCATCCGCTTTTCTGGGATGAGCCTAAAATGCTATCGTTTCTGCAGGATGTAAGCGATCGTGTTGAGAAACTGCAATTTCATGCCGAGCCGCTCAAATCACTGGAAAAGAACGGACGCATCGTCGTGCTGGATGACTGGAATACCCATCTAGACCCCATGATTACAGATGATTTAAGGAAGTATCGCGGCTACATGGGAGCCAGTGTTCGGGATCTACTCCGGGCTCTGCGTAACAAGAAGCATCATTATCATGAGCTGACCATGGCCGCCCAGGAGATGTTGGGCTGCATACCGCACGAGTTCACCAACTACTGGGTGGATCGCTTCCCTCAGCTCATCTCACACGCCTACCATGCGTTCAGTATTTGCTCAAATGAGCCCATCTTCAAGCCGTACTACAATGCCGGCTATCACTTTTCGCGTCCATGGTACTTCGACGCAGACGACGCATTGTTTCCCATGCTGATGCGGGATCCAAAGCCGCTGCCTAAGATAGGCAGTCCCAAGAAGACGCCGCCACCAGCTGGCAGCCAGGTTCAGCAGCTGAAGCAACGGAAGGGTATCTACAATTTCCGTAGGCCCAGCGATGAGCTTCCTATTTCGGGTGTTGGGCTGCAGAGGAATCTGGAGCTGGATGGACAATCAATTGAGGCGGAGGGGAAGCGGGATGTGTTCGCAAACTTCAAGTTTCGACGCTATGCCAAGCCGGGAAACAATCGCAACTATGGCAAGGAGACTACGCAGGACAAGGAGAAGTACGTAAGCTGGACGCTGCCGCCTTCAGCGCAGGATTAGGGCAGTTGGCAGAAAAGAAATAGAACTAGAAGTTTAAGTTTTAATCATTTAATAATTTTTTATTAATATTATTATAATTTTTATTTATTTTAATTGTGCAATTTGTGTATATGCAACTATTCCAAAACGATTCCCAATTCAGTTCTAGCTAAAATATTCAACGATAAAGATGAAAATGAAACTATTTTGTATACTATAGTTATAGCAATAAGAATGTAGTGTGTCGTCTGTCGAATGCACGCAATTTAACTGTGATAATTTTTGATTTCTGTTCAATGCCCAAGTGCAAGAAATTGATCTAAACGAATAGTTCGAGTTTTATAATTAGTAATTAGTCTTATTGAATATTTATCCATAAGTTTAAGTAGTCACCTACCCCAACATACATACACCAACACACTCCTCTTTGACAAGCAGAAACTATACAATATATTCTACAAGCACTTTGTATTAAAGTTAAGGAATGGAATGTTACAGTTGATGAACAACTAGATGCTTGACAACGGGCTGCATTTTTTAACAAGTCTTAAGCCTAATTAAATAAATATTTAATACAAATTTAAACAGAGCTCGTAAAATTGTCTTACACATTTTGATCATTCCACTTCTCTCACAGAGTCACAGACATAATTGATTCGGAGAGACGATACGCGAAACTTTTTGAGAGTTGTATGAAACACAACTAACTTGTTGAGTTAACTTGGCATAGAGGAGAGAGTAAAAGCAGGAGTAAGAGGCAGCAGCAGAGCCAAAAGATAGAGAATAAAATTTATCGTTAAACGAGAACCAACCTTGCGAGCTCTGCTTTGTATTATAGTTTAGAAATAGAATGTTACAGTTGATGATGCTTGACAACGGGCTGCATTTTCTAACAAGTCTTAAGCCTAATTTGAAAAACATAAAAAAGCTAAATAAAAATGTATTTAAAAATTTTACAAAACAATTTTATTCTCACTATACATGAATGTGTAACAATTTAAAACAATTTCTCCGAATATATTGGCTATGAGAGATGAGACTTTCGAGTTCGTTCAATAACAAATTCATAAATAATTGGATGGATCAACAAATATGTATGTATATAAAAAACATTATTACTATACTCGAGATTTTGGTTCTTTAGAAGAAGAAATAGATTTGTAACTAGAATTTGTTTCACTTTGGCCTCGTTGCTTGTCGTTGTCATCCTAAGGTTGTCCGGATTAATTAGCCGACTTCATCATGGTCTTCATTTCGTTGCGCACACAGTACTTGAAGGCATCCCAGCCCTCCGATTTGGCCACGGACTGTAAGGCAATATGTTTGGGATTAGTAACTGCCCTTTCGCAGGATAGAAAATGGATTGAATTGGAAAAGTGAAAATTGGGGAGACACACAAAAATTAGGAAGAGAAGCAGAAAAGCAAAAGATTTCTTCTTCGTGGGATCCAGTGCCCACTGACCTCATTTTCACCTTTTGGAGCGACTACCTCAATGGAAACCTTTACACGCTGGTCGAGGTCAACAACATCTTGCTAGGGAGAGAAAATACAACTCATGGCTAATCAGCTTGGGCTTGGACTTTCAGCCTGAACTATATAATCACAACGCTGTTCGCTGTTAGACGAGTGTGTGTAGTGAGTCATGTCCGACAAATGGTCGATCGGAAATGTGATAATGAGCAGGGTTTAACAAAAACCGGAACACAACAAAGAAGTATAAACAATTTAAAAAATAAGCAGTGCAGTGCAAAAGTCCTGTCCTTTGCATTTCCACAATGTTTTTCAAGGACAAACAAATACAAATGTGATTAAAAATAAAGTTTAATTCGGCGTATTATCAGTGTTTAAAGGTTAATATAATAAAACTAATAATATGAATATGTTTAATATGTATAATTAATGTCTTTAAAACGATTTTCAGTTGAGTTAATGTCTTAAAATCTAAACTAAATAATGATAATGATAATGATAATGATAAATGATGATAATGATAATGCCAAGAAACGCTTACGGGCAAGACAAAAACGAAACACAAATGAGTAACACATTCAGCCAAATAAGGACACAAAGCGAGTAATAAAACGTGCTAAAATTAATATTATAAATTAAACTAAATATGAGAGTTCAGTGCCAAAGCGCATCGCTGTCGATGAAGTAGTCCAGATGTCGGCAGACCCGATGCCGCCAGGCCACAAACATGGGGTACGCGGGCTCGTCATAGGCGTCCAGTGCCTCGTTGTAATCAAAGAAACGACCACTTACTTTAAAGCCCCGATGCAGGCGATCCTTCATAATGGCAATGAACTCCTTGTAGGACAGCAGACCATCACCATCAGCATCGAAGATGGCAAACACAGTGTCAATCAAATGTGGACTCAGCTTATAGCCGGTGCAGATCTTCACGGCACGCGAAAATTCATCTGCAAAAGGAAGAGAATAACATTAGATATAATTCAAGTTTTTGTGTATCTTTAAGATATATCTTATAGATATAATAGATATTTATCTTACCCTTCGATATAGCCCTATCAGCCAGGGTGTACATGCGCATGGCAATCGTAAAGTCATCCAGATTGTTGAGGAAATGGCAAAAGTCACGGAAATCGTGGAAAGTGATGCCCTTCTCTTCCTTAACGCGCTCTAGCAGACGCTCCAGAAAGATATCATACTCATCCGTGGCCAGATACGTGTATCGCAGCAGAATCTTGGCAAAGTCCAGCTCACTGATGACACTATTACCCTTGGAGAACTCATGGAACTCCAGCTCCAGCACCTCCGTCTGCAGGTTGTCCATGAAGCGGTAGAAGTTGTCATAGTTAATTACTCCCGTGCCGCGTTTGCCAAAGAAATGAAATTGAAGGGTGGTGGCCACCATATGACGTCGCTGCAGTCCCTCGCCATCGTTTACATAGTTCTGCTGGAAGAGATTGCAAACGAGGACTGTTAGGTATCGATTGAATTGGGATTATTGCTTCGTTAGTCACACCAGGCTCATCATGCTTGGGACTCGGGAAGACCTTACCTCGAGGGTGGTGGACTCTTGGGGCTCGGGGTCTTCCGGCTCTTGTTCGCCGTGCTTCTCCTTCCAAGCGCCGCTAAAAATGCGCTCCATCTGGGATTTTATGTACATGCCAGAGTTGCGGGATAGTTTTTTTGTTTTTGGTGCAGGATTTTTAGGGGTTAGGTTGGAGAGAAGAAAAGTTAGGTGGTTTAGTGAGGATCAATCACAGTGGTTGGTTGGAGCGATTCTAGGGTGTAGGCCTGTTTTTTTGGTAAACAAAACAAAAAGCGCCAGGAACAGAAACGAAACTAAACAAAAACTTAAACTTACAAACAGGAAAAAGTCAAAATTCAAAGCCAAAAAAATCTGTAACATTAAATCCTTATGAAAACAAAGATAACTTTAAGCAAAGCGTGTACAAATTTAGCATTCGTACAATTAAAATTAACAAAAACACAAATAATCAACGGATAACTACGCTAAGCTTCTACATATGCTTCAAGCATACATATTTATATCGAGTTCTGTACAATTTTTGGGCGAAGTGTTCGCGAAGCAAAGCCAATATGTATTATAAACTCTCTGGTTACTGATTGACTTACTAGACCCCTCTTGGTTTGTACCACCGCCATGGGCTTCATCATTTGGCTTTGCTCGTCGTAGGAAACTAAACGCGATAGCTGCGATCGAGATCGTTTTCGGAGACCACAAACAGAATAAATTATACATAAATCAGGGGTTGTAACCAAGAATAAACTAAAAACTACTATAAAACTAAAGTGAAAGTGGTGTGCAGCTTACATCATCGCCCTAGGGCCAGCTATATCACAAATTAGTTTTCATTATACATAAATAATATCATTAAATTATGGTTAAACTTAATAAATAAAATGCTTACAATTCGCTTGGTTTGTGGATCGACATTTTGAATGTCTTTGAAGGCGCCGGCCAAAATGGAAATTATCTAATGGTGTCAAATTTAATTGTTGTTTCAAATGATACAAAATAATAAGTAAATCAAATCAATTAAGAAACCCATAGGAGGTATGAGCATTCGATGGGGGATAATGATTCCCTGGTATTTACCACTAGAAACTCGTCCTTGTCCACCCTCTGATTTCCATCAGTATCGAACATGTTGAAGGCTATGCGGAAACCCGACTTGGGTTCTGAAAAGTAAGAATTTGATTAATTTAATATGCTCTTTACTTGTAAACCAGTATTTCTTACTTGTTAAGATTGAGAGTAAAAACAAGTATTCCGTATAGGAGACAATACCTGAAAGAAAATTAAGGGTTTAGTGAAATATTCGTTAAATTATCCCTGAGAAGAGTGCATATTAAGGGTAATAGTTGTTGGAGAGAGTGTAGTTGAAATTCACAAGTACGAATTTATTTAGCAAATACACTAATAAACTACGTAGGAATATTAAATAATGTTCAAAATCAATTATAGGAATTATTCTTAAGAGGTTAGATGCTGTATACTTATAAGAATTAAGAATATTTAAGGAAACATTCTTAATAATAAATTTTTTTTGTTTTTAGGGTCCTAATATCCTTTAGCGTCATATGAAATCCTTAAACCTAAATGCTTCTCGTATACCTTTGTCTCTCAAATTACGAAATAGTCGCGTAGAACCCTTTTTCAAAGCTGGCGTACTCTCCTTGTATTTCTCCACTTCATCGCTGGAAAGTTGTCGCCGTTTCAGGCGAGCTGAGATAATAAAACATATATTAATATTTAAAAATAATTTAAAAATCAGAAATGTATACTTACGTCTGGGCTCTTGTTCAACCACAGAGTCTAGAAAGTCCTGTGGGGTCATGTAGAGCTGATCGTCATATTCCACGGAGGCAAACTTGATGAACCGACGCTCTCGAGCTGTAAGCTTTACGTTCTCCAGCTCGCTATCATCGCGCTGCGGGTTAGGGAATCGGAAAGGATTAATCAGGCCATCAATGGATGGTAACTTAATATGCCGTTGGGCGTATTTGGTGGGGAATATATAATTGAAATAAATCAGCGAAACCAAAGCTCCGCCGCCTGGTCACAAAGGCTAACCGACCGACAGGGACAAAAGCTGGGACTGCAATCTGGACGGCTGTGATCTGGTGACGTTTTGATTAATGCCCCAGCTGTGTTGCCTCAGAAATATTAATTTGATCCGGTTTGCCGTTCTCAGATCGCGAATTACATGTATGATCTGCATTTAATTTTAAAATCCAGAACTCTGACTTTTGACGGACGGCAGGGACAGGATTCCCACGTCGGTCGTTTGGCAAATAAAGTGTCAAATTGATTTGAGAACATGCTGTGACCGTGGATCCTCCATAAATCTGACATTTAATGCCACCCACAACAAGTAATCATTTTCCCGCATGCTCGTAGACAGGGCGAATGACTCAATCGTACTTTATTTGTGGTGAAAAGACAACAACTCCCAGGCCATAACTCTCCCAGTGGCCGGGTCGGGTCTGTTCCCAAAAAAAGCGATCTGAACAAAGGCCACTTTGAATGTTAGACATGTGCAGCAAACCCTCTGTGACCACGCCCACGCCCCCAAACAAACAGAGGCGGATCGGGGACAATTCCTCATAAAAGCAAAGCTGACATCATTCCTCCTGCAACTCAAAGGGTACAGTAGTTCGTTATGTATACTTTTATAATAATAATTTATAATTTCAGTATGAGATTAACTATGCTTGGGGTTTGATTTTAAAGGTTTGAATATATTTAAATAGGAAAATCGTCAATAAAAATATTTCTAATGAGCTTTCATTGCAACAGTTGTATTTTTATTATAGTAACTTTAACATCCTTAAGAAAGGGATATTTTTAAAGAAAATTAAGATGATCGAATCCATATTTATAACACATAAAGGTAACAATATCTCAGATTTTAGGTCTCAAAATTGATTTATGTTCAAGGAAAGTGAATATTTGAATATATATTTTGAAAGATCTTACTCAACCACTGTTCCAAGACTGTAGGCCAAGAACAAGGAGACTCGAAATGGCTGCAGGCACTGGATTTATAGGCAACAATTAAAACTCATTCATCATCATCAGGCGCAGTTGTCATAACACATGTCAGGGCCAGGCCAAAACCAAAACCAAAGCCAAAACCCAAGCCGAACTCAATGTTGCAACTCAAAAAAATAAAAACTAAAGCCACGCCTGCGTCTGGCACTGGGCATTTTTGTTGCTGTGTGGATATTGGTGGGTGTATCAAATCGGCAACCAGATCGATTGATAGATAAATTTCAGTAACTGGCGTTCTGTCAGCATTCGGGGCAGTGAGTTCTAGGACGAATCATTCGCCGCCTGCAGGTGCGTGGGCGTATCGGGCTAACTACTTTGCCACTTCATCATGCATTTTTCAAGGTGTGTGGCATTTGGAGCTGGAATGAGTATTCATTCCGAAAGGTTGTAGCCCTGGGAGTTTTTGGAATTTGTTCGATCTCAAGATATGCAAATCTGGGAGGATTATTTGAAATCAGAAAAGAGATACATAGGGATTGGGATAGTGGGTTTACATGGACTAGGAATTGAAATCTATCTTTAAATATATCTATAACTAAGACTCAGTCTTTTTATAATACATATTAGGCACCTAATCCTACTAGATTTAAAGTTTATGGCTACTTGAATGAACTATATTTGAAGAGGATAATAACATATTTTACATTTATTCATTTTAAAAAACGATTTACCGAAAATATAACTCCGATACAAATTCTAAAAGTAACAAAGAAGCTTTGGTAAAAAAGTTAACTTGGGGAGAAATTGGATTAACCAATCTGTTAAGTAACTTCAATATAGAATTCAGCGTACAATTATAGCTTTTTAATGATTTCTAAATGTGGTTAAAAAAACTTTATTTGCGCTAAGTAGATAAATAAGTATTTCATCAAATTACCAGTTCTTTTTCCTAATATCTTTTAACTATTAATTAGTTTTAATGAATACAAAACGTGTTATGTCTAAATTTTTCCGAATGACAATACTGTCCCTTTTTCTCTCCGTGCATAACGACACAATCTAAAATTCTGGGGAGTTCCCCACCCATGCCCAAAAAGCTAAGCCCTGATAAGCAATTGCCGAATCGTTCAATGTAAATATTTAAACTTCACACCCTGAATCACACATAACAAAAAAATTAAGCTTATCGCACATCACGCACGTCACTCTGTCAGCCTTTTGTTGTTGTTGTTGCTTTTGTTTTCTTGCTGGGCCTGCCCCAGAGACAATGTCAACAGGTTGACAGCCATTAGTTGTTGTTGCTATTGCAACTTCATTGAACTTGGACACGCACAACAGCAACAACAACAACAACATTACATCATTCATAGTGTGATAACGACCCTGAGCCCGATTTCTGTGAGCTCGTCTTTCTGCTTCTGCTTAGAAGTAACTAGAATTTACACGGCGAATTGATTTTAATGGCTAATTAAACGCTGATTAGATCGTAAAAAGCAAAACAAACACCGTGCAGCGAAGTTGCTGAGCAAAACAAAACGTAGAAAAACAGCTGATAGCCAAGCACTCCCATCCCATTACGGTAAACGCAACATAACGTAACGTAACGCGTCGACATGCCACAAGCTAAAAATAGCTGCGCAGGTCTTTTTCATCCAATTATTGACTTTTCCACACCAAACACTTGGCACACTTGTTATCGCGTTTCACACTCAATTACCATGCGTCGCTTTAGGCTAACAGCATTCACAGGATTTTCCGCGGAGCGCATTTTGATGAAAGCCACCAAAGCTGCCAAAGACACCGTGCTGCCGCCTACAATGGTAAGCAGACGTCGCGTTTTATGGCCGGGAATACCGCCCGTTTGTGAAGATCCGCTGGCGAATCTGACCGATCGGGCAACGGATACGCCCACCCCGGATCTCTGCGCGATTAAGGAACCACTTTTAACCGTTAATCTAACCACTGCGCCCGCCATTGTGTCTGAGTTGTAACAACGAAAAAAACTCAACTAGTGACAAATAGGAAGACGTGATGTGCGTAACGTAAGCTGAGATGCTACGTAGGACATTAGGGTTGCCAGCCGCCCGCAAAAAATGGTTGGCAGTTGGGGTGAGTTGATTTTAAATTTTTTCTAGATTATAAGAACGGAATGCTGCATTCCGAAACTTGAACGTGAACGTTTTAAATTAAAATGATTAACAACAGTAATCAGCAAAAAAAAAAAAAAAAAAAAAACAAAGGGTTTTTAAGCAAGCTTAATTAAATAAGGTTAACATTTTAATTAATTTCACCCATAATAATATTTTAAAAACCATTTTAAATAATAAATTTAAATCGTATAAATTAAATTAGACATAAACTATGTGAGCTGTTAACGTAAGCAATACGGAGTTGCCAGATCGACATTTACTTGCCAGAGGGCAATCTGGCGGGCATTTTAAAAATAAATGAAAGAAAGTGCAATTTATCCTGACATATTTTTCTTTAAAACTACTGTCTATAAATTATAAAAATCATATCAAATCTTAAATGGCAGCTTACATTATTTTTAAAATTCACATATCCTTCCAAAAACTATTTTAAAAATTGATGAAAAGAAGAAATTGCTTGTGCAGGGTCTACGTGTCGAAACTCACATAGAATATTGGAAAACATTTATAGAAAGTAATTAACAATCCCGCTAACGTCAGCTTATAAGCAAAGTACATATTTGGTCCCAAAAGTATTGGTCACTGTGTGTGGATTTTAAAACACTCTCTGGAATTCCCCAATTATTTCCGCATAACTGCCTTTTAAAACTTATAATTAGTTATTGGCACTTGCCAATTTTTTGACTCACTCGAAATGGGGGACTACGTGCCTAAGTCCACACAGATCAGCCAAAAGCTTATAACAAATCCTGGCAACGTGAATTTCTGCGGTAGTGTCTTGACGTATTATTATAAATTTCGCTATAAACTATGGTCGGGATGGGGATTTTTATTGGGCATGCCCAATATGCGGCTGTGACGCGCCTCGGTCTACGCAAAAACCGAAACAAATAATCTTATTGACCGTCAAAAGTTCAAAATTCTAGTGACTCACTTGACCGCCGGCAGCGGTGGGTTGGGATGAAATATGACAAAAATGCAACTAGAAATCAATAAAAATGTCGAAATATTTTATGGGAAAACAAATGTCCCCGTTGAATGACTATAAAATGATCTAACGAAACCTGTTGCACACACCCCGCCCCCATTAAAAAAAGAAAAATTCAATAGAAACGCTCTCTGTTCTCCAGATTCCTCCTCTTGTTGTGGCAAAGAAAAATATCAATTTCACTTGATTTTCTTTCCGCTGTCGCGCGAAACCCTAGACGCAGTCCGTCTCTTTTGGAAACCGCTCTGCTTCTCTCTTTCTCTCAGGGCTAGATTCAGGTGAAGTTCACGACCCAGGATAGTTGACACTTTGGGAGTTTTGGTCCATTACCTCGATCAGGAGAGTCGTCTGAGCGTCGCCTTTGCCCCCACAGAAAAGCCTTGGCTTTGCTTACTCGCCACTTATGAGCTCGTAAATTATTAGTTTCAATTTTAAGCGGAGCATTGTGTTTCCTTTTCCAATCCATTTCCTGCTAAAGTTGTAAAAGAAGTGAGTGAACCTTCCACGCGGGCGCCAACGGACTCGAAAGAGGATTCCCGATATCCGTTGGCACATAAAAAGATTTGTGTTGACGCCTCCGCCGGGCCTTGGACTTGTAAAAGGCCCCAAGGGCAGGCCAGAAAGACCTCAAAACGTTCGATATGAATGCTTAATATTTTGGTTTTCTTCTGGTAGTAATAAAGTCGTATTTGGTTTGGCTTTCGTTTCGGTTCCACCTTTCTTCTTGTAGTAATAAAGACGTTCTCAAGTTCCGTAAAAAATCTGCAGATGGTTAACAAATTTCGGTTGAACCTTTAGCGCCAGGGCCTAGAGGCATTTTGATCTTTTATATAATTCATGCGATGGTTTCATTTTGCGGGTTAATTAGTTTGGCATTTAAAGTGTTTTCGAAAGAACTGTCAATACACTGAGAAGAATATAGGAGGTAGTTGATTCTTTGATTTAATTTGGACATACCAGTACACTTGACTAACTATAGGAATATAGTTTAAAGAAAATATATATTGATATTAGATATCACTTGTCCCAAATACCCCCTGTAAAGTTATGAAACACCTAACAAACTAGTATACAGCCTTTAAAAAGAATGAAAAGATTAAATTCGTTTAACCGATTTTTGATAAGTAGATCTTTTGATAATAAATCATTGATATGTTTCTTGGAGGAATCAATTTCAAACCTAAGCAGATCGAAAAAAGAGCGTCTGCCATATAGAAACGTTGTTCTGACTTTTATAAATATTAAATATCCAATATTCAGCATGGAAAATATAAATATGAAAAATATGTATGCTATGGTCTTACTATAACTCAATATACTTATAAGTTATAAGCATTATAGTCAAGACCAGATATATGCCGATAAGGTTTCAAAAACACTCAAATTATTTTACAATATTTTAATTTATCAATGACATTTGGAAAACTTGAACAGTTTTGGCACTGAAGCATTATTTCAACAGATTGACCATCACATTTATGACACCTTTTCTTTCTCTGGACTCTTAATACCCTCGACTTGCTTTTTCCTGGGTCTTTAGGCAAAGTGATTAGGTAATATTTTCCAGGGGGTTGGGCTCCTCCAGATCACATACCTTCGGTTTGCCGCCGCCTCATTTAACGGTAAAATTGAAATTGATATACGAGCTGACAATCGAAAAAAAAAACAAAAATCCCTTGCGATGCATCCAGATACGAGATGAGATTATTGATTTCGCTGGAACCTTGACGGCTGCAGATGATATCACTCGCTGATCAAATAAAAAGTTCAATGTCAATGATGCTTGATGCTTGATGCCGCGGCTCAATCAGTTAAAGAACACTCCGTGTGTGTGTGTTGGGTGAGAGAAAGGGGCCACCTGTTGAGCCAGTTCACTCGAAGTTCATTGAGTTGTAATTAAAATAAAGAACAGAAAGATGCATACCGAAACCCAAAATAATGGAGTACACAAATATAATAAAAAAAGGGGGACCACACGCAATCCGTTCACAAGGCGCTGCCTGTCACACATAAATCTCAATGGCACATGCGGGAACCGAGGGGATTGCAACTTCTGGGTCTGCTGATGCATCACCTCCGCAAGAAAAAAGGGTGCCAAGGGGTCTTGGCCAAAGGATGCTGCAACCAAAAGCCGGTTTTGTGTTGCCCCTCTAACATGGGTGATTTATGCCTCGCCCCTGGGCACAATATGTGCGCCCGGCAGCTGGTCCGCCGCCACCAATAGAAGCCGCTCCAATTACATCACTCAAACTACAGTTAAGGTGACCAAAAAACACTCGCAGGGAACTGGAAAGTCGCGCGGCTGTCACATTAGGCCGCTCTAATCAGACAGAGAGCCCAGTTTATCGCCGGACAAGATCTTCGAAGGATTACCAGTCTAGACTTGGGATCTGCCTAGATCTTCACATCTCAAGATCCCGCTCTGGATCCTCCTTCTGCGCGCCGCTCTCTACTCTACACGAATGTGTTAACGGTCCATCTGTTGGCTGCTGGCCGGTTTTGGCCAACTTTACGAGCGGCGCTAGAGACCCGCCACAAAATATACAAACTCAAATAAGACTGAGGAAAACCAGGGGACTTTGAATAGGAACAAAGTTATATACCAGATTCTGGGTATTTATAAAACTTAAAGGTCTTTTTATCGTAACTTTTTACAGTGTATGAAAACGAAAGAGAACTTCTGAATGGTCTTTTGTTGTTACGGCTTTGATTAAGTTCTGATATCTATGGTTCGAAGTGGAGTAACCCGAGCTCTGGACCTCAACGAGTCTTTCTTTTAATTTTATTAATTGTTATTGCCACAAAGTTCCATAAATTTCGTCCATGCATGGCAATAGATAGCCGTTCCACTGATTTGGTTAATAGCCATGATATCGATATCGATTACGTTGGCAGGCACAATAAAAATTGCTCACATTTATGTAGATTGTGGATAAAAGAGGCGATCTATTGAGTGTCTCTGGCATTCTTATGAGACAGCTTGACTGATTGTGAGAGAATGGTTGAGTCTATCCAAAGACTAGAAGCCTTTTGATATCGGAATTTTGTGAGTGAGGAGTGAGTGGTTTTCCAAAAAAAAGTTATCAAAACATTTGATCGAAATACAGAGATAGCTGAAAAGTAGTTAATTCTGTTGGATTCTTTCACATACCGATATTCTATGAATGTAAACTTTATTCTGTATTGTATTTATCCCTTAAAATCTAAAATCTATGATGTCTTTCAAGAAACTTAGGGGTGCATTCAGTTCCGAAAATAGTGTCCTATATTCTTCTCTGTATTATCCCAATTTCATTACCTAGTTTAGTGTGTTCAAGGTGCCCTTCACTTGAGATTCAGACCAGACCAGATCATACCATCAATTGCTTGACACTGCTCAAGCCGAACCCAATTAAAATCAGGCAGCAAATTTATTAAATTGTCATCGATGGCTGCCAAATTAAAATGTCAACGGCTTGCCGAAATCCAAACCAGGGGGCCCCAGAGGGGGAAAGGGAGCAAAAAAGTGTCATAAACTTGTTTGACAGATTTCCTTTGATTCATGGAAACCATAAATAAAGCTCGCCAAGTCTCTGGGCGTGGCCCAGAGCTGAAAGTCGAGCCACTGCAGCACCAAATCAAAGTCAATGCGAGCGATGCATAAATATTTTGGCAAACCAAATGAGATTCATTTGGCTGTCATCGTCATGTGGTAAGCACCCGCGCCAAGGAATGCCACAGCATAGCCTGGTCCCGACCTCGATCCCGATTCCGAATCCAAATCCGAATCCGATGCAGATTCCGGCCAGATTCAGATCAGATCGGGCCACGACCATTGCATGTGTCGCCGCCATAATTCTTAGGCAATTCAAGCGACTTGATGATGACATTCATTTCTTCCGTCGAAAGGAGCCATTCAATTGACTCATGAATCTCCGGGAAAGATTGTGGAGCACCTGACCGGGACATGGAGCTCAGTTTTAGTGCCGAACTGGCGCCTGGTTTTTTCCGGTGATTCCATCTATCAAAATACTTTATGATCCTGGCCACACCTTGGCATGGAAAGTGGCCAGCAGAAGGAGCAAATCGATGTAATAACATTCTGAAGATTTACTGACACAGATTTGGGTTAGATATGAAAATTAAAGCCATGCATATACTTTCTATAATGGTTAAGGGCTGCCCTATCTAGTTTATTACATCAATTTATTAATAACTTCTAGGCTATTTGTCTATTCACTCATAAAAGGATCTCTGGCTTTCGGAAAGCCTGAGAAGATAGTTGACCAGTGCTTCGTTTAGTTGCTGAAGGAATTCACGGATGTCAATCAATTCCATGGCTGCCGAGGTGGTTCTATAATAGGGTCCGGGACCAGCATTGCAAAGTGCAGTATTAGAGTGCTTGCAAAGCTAAAGGCAGTTTAAATATTAGATTTTAATAATCGGTGGAAAAGTCCTTACCTTCTTAAAATGTTGGGCCAAGAAGCAAGCAATCGCCAGGATTGTTGGTTCGTGATCCCCCTCCTCGTACAACCCCATCAGTGAGTGACAAAGTTTTGGAGATCCAAAGCTTGCCTTGGTAATGGTTTGAATTTTTAATATATAATAATAATAATATTAAAGTGGTACTCACCTGCACACTGGCGGCCACTAGAGAGGGCCAGCAAATGTGCCACCAGTGACTCCACTTCACCTGGAGCACATTTATGGCATTGAGTATCAGGGATCGTTCCTGGAGGCGCTTTTGCAATTGCTGTCGCTTAAGAAAAGCAGGTGACATTGTAGGCATCACCTGCAGGCAAGGAACCTCTTGACAGGAGGTCAGAGAGACTGAAAAGTTTTCCCTAGTAGAAAAGTTCTCAAGTTCCGATTTGACGCTTTCCACGGTCGCGTTCAAATGAATTTCCCGCAGCCGATGTGAAGTGCGAAGGCCTCTTCCAATGCACATCTGTCTGCGGCGATTCCGCGACTTCTTTTGCGGATTTGGAGTTGTCAACTGGGTGGCCACAGTGCGACTAAATTGCATAAAATATGATTAGATAAGATCAAGATGGAATACCCTTGCTAAGTACCTCTCGGTGATGAATCGACGTCTTAGACCATGGTAAAGGTTGGCCCAGACAATGGCCAATTCCAGGACTGGCATCGTAGGAAACTTGTTAATAGAACTATGAAACTACAAATTTAGGTCCACAAGTATAGGAATTACTTTTAAAGGCTAGACCGAAATGTACTATTTTTGAAAATTGCAGCTTTAAACCATTTTCAAAGCTGTCAGGTGTCAAAACCTGCCCAGCTTTGAAACTGACAAAGAGCTCTCGGATTGAATAAAAGCAGGAGAGCATCAGTTTCATGCATAAAATATCTCAGAAAATATTTCAATTCTGTGTTCTGAGTTCCGTGTGCTGGGGTAATTTTGATTTATTTCTTTTCCGATAGATCTGCGTGAAGACTCAAGGCCCGCTTGGATAGTGCACTCATAATTTATGGCGGCAGTGGCTGCCATCGCAATTAGCATTGCAATTTGAATCAAAATATTTACAAATCAATTACTGTGACTGGCGACCCCCGGCCGCATAGTCACTTCCACCATAATCGATCACCCAGCTGGGTACCCCGCATTCTCATTCCCATTCCGATTCCGATATTGATTCCACTTGCGTGGCAGAGATACTATTCTATAATCTCTGCGAACCCCACCCCCAATCGACATGGTGGCGACGACAGCATTTTCCAGTAATCATAATTTGCATTGACCTTAACCCGTTGGAAAGTATCTAATTTTCTGCAATATAGAACTTAATATAGTTCTCAAGGATCTGAAATTTATATTTTTAATAGTTTGAGAATGTGATGGTATTTATATAAAATATTATGAGGTAGGGGTTGGTGTCTCGTTTTATAGTTAAAATTTATTGGATAGATAGATAAATAGATAGAATTTATAGATAATAAAGGCTAAACTTAACAGGAACCAGGTACTTCCCGTCAAGTCTTTTTCGAGTGGATAGCTGAATTTAGGAATCAACCAAAAAAATGGTTTTTCCTGCACATCTGTAAACAATTTGGTACTAAATATCACTCTGTTATCCTTTATCGTTCAGATAAATCACAGGTCCCAAGAAACACAATTAATCCAAGCAATTATTAAATATTTTCCTTTAACAGTCGAATCTCTATCTGAGATTTTAACTGTCAAAAAAGAAACCAATCCTTAACCCTTTTTCCAAGTTTGGATCTAAACAAACTTATTTGTAATATTATTTAAAATTAAAATTGTCTCGTATGATACTAATTTTTCCTATGGGTTAACTTGTTTTCGTATCAGCTGCCGTATTGGCTTAAGATTAAAGTCACCCATTGGCGACACAATCAGTTTGAGATTTGTTTTTAATTGATTCGATTCGATGCCAATGGAATTGACTTTCTGTCAGTCTGAGCGTCGGCTGCCGCTTGTTCCGTCGCCATTCGTTGACAGGCGACTATTACAATTTTATTAACATAAATTATAGCGGCCCGATCGATGCTACGACTAATGGATGCTTAATGGTTGTTAATGTATGGTGACTGCCAAGGAATTTATCACCAAAATCAGTTTTGATTGGTTCTCTACTGTTTAGTATCCAACGGATCCCTTTGTATCTGCAGAAAAAGTGTCGCTACTGCAACGAGAAAACATGCTGGCTGACAGTGGACAACATGACAATATTGTAAATATTGTTTATTCTGTAATTTAATATTGCTTCGATTGCAATCTAGATACATTTCTGTCGGAGATCTGTGGAAGGAAAAGCCGCCAACCTTGAGGCAAGGCGCCGCGCGTTTTTAATCGCGCAGGAAACGCGTGCGGCCGCCTCAAGGTGTAAAAGACTGGAAGTCAGGTTTATATAGGGGATCGATCGGTCACGGGATCGGGATCGGGATCCGGATGGTTGGGGGGCGCTGACCAGGGCAGCTGCCCCTTGAACACCTCGACGAGCATCACTTGCCACATTTTCGGTTGGCCACGGTTTTTTTTTTTAATTAATTTAACAACATCTTGTCTCGGACTGCACTCGGCTTACGCGGAAAAAGGGTCAGGGGTCGTTGAGGCGAGCACATTAGGCTGGAACACTCAAACACCCGAGTTAATTAAGTCATTAGCCCGAAAATGTCCTGCTGCTGCCTCTGCTCCTGCGCTTAATTAATCATTTTAATTGTCTTGCTGCATACCGAAGGAAGGATAATGTGGGGAATAAAGGAATAAAGAAGGGCTGATCTGGTAAAACTGCGGGGGAGAAGGTTATTTATAGGGGCACCTCCTGCCGGCAAAGGGCAAGGTCGAGGGCAGGGACACTTGGCATGTGCTTCACAGTCTCACAAGCGTCAAATTCCAGGGCACAAAATGTGGTTCCAGCTATTCCGTTTAATGGAGTTAATTGTTTTGGGGACAGCTTGTAGGCAGGCGAAACCACTTAGTCAACCGACGATGTGCAACAGTTTCAAAATAAATTTGGAGGTTTGAAGGTTAGAAGTTGAAATTAGAGCAAAGGCAAAACCACAATTACTATATATAGTAAATTTATATCAAGGAAACTTCTGTGCATTTGGGGAACCATTAAAAATATGAATGTCTCAATTAATTCAGTAAATACTTAACTTCTTAGCTTATCTTCAGTCAACCAATCAGGAATTCCTACCCCCAATGCCTGCCCAATGACGTTGTCCATTCACTGCCACTGTCAAGTTCAACGTAAACACATACAGTTTGTTCCATGTGATTTTATTTATTTTAAAAGCCATCATAGATAAGATAAACTTTATTCAAAGAAATTTGCTCAGTGCTTTCATAACTCCCATATGGACTACCTATATTTTGTACTGGTAGTTCCGGTGACCATTAATAGATTTTGAGATATATCGATTGCTATTTCCAGATAGGTTAATTGGATTGACAAAGTTTAGCATTTATAAAGCTAATGTGATAAACGTAGCTATGAGTTGCCGGTGATTCTGATTCATAGTCGAAATCCCATTATATTAGGCAAAGTGTTTGATGACGCTGTTGCACTTTGGGCCCATATAGTTAAGGGGTATTTGTGCAAATCTACAATAACTTGCGAAATACGTAGGCACTGGAAATGTGTACGCGCCAAAAAGCACAACCGCCACCAAAACAATCCGAGCAAAAATACAAGCACCTGCAATCAGAACGCTCACACGGACAAGCAAAAAAAAAGCTGGCACGTGATGGGGGATTGGATCTGTCGCAAACTTGGTTATTTTTAATTGGTTATTTTAAATTAATTATGTATAGTAGAATGTCGTGAACGAAGCACATTATTATAAAGATATAAATATATTGCCTACTTATTTGTTTAATTTTGTATCTAAACGAGGGTACAAAGTGTTTTCTGTGAGCATAAAAGTAAGGTTATTTTTAAGTTTTGAAAAGATATTTATAATTGTTATATAATTATAAATAATTATTTAATTTAAATAAAAACATTTATTTAAAATTCCATAGTCAAACATTTAACATATCTTTCTAATAATTCATATATATATTTATAAATATTTATTATATTATTATATCATTATAACAATATTTGTTTAGAATACTATAGTTAACATTTCTTTTTAATAATTAATATGTATTTTTAAATATTTGTTATATTCTTATATTATTATAAAAATATTTGTTTAAAATACTGTGGTTAAAACACCTATAAACTTCTATATTTATAATATATCTTTTTAAACATTTATTATATAGAATTATATAATTATAAATATATGTAGATGTGACATATTAGATCTTCCTTTTCCATCTGTGAAACTATTTGCTTAATGTCCGAAAACTATTATTACATTTTGTGTTATTACATCAAGACGTCTTGAGATCAAAGTCCTATAAAAAAAAGTGAAACAATAATTAATAATATTTTCATTATATCTACATTATTACATAACAAATATTTCAATTAATTTTAACTAAAGCATGCTGTATAAATTAACTTACAATAACTACTGTTTAATTTGTTTATATTATCCCATATATTTTATTTATTTACTTTACTTTCTTACTTTTCCTATATATTTAGATTTATTTATTAACGAGTTCAGCTGAGTTTGATGTACCCTTTATTAATATCTAATCACTGGATCACAAAATTAGCACTATCGATTTTCATTAACTCTTGTCACACTTTCGTCAGATAAGTCGGAAGTCACACAGGCTCTCCGGACTGTTGTGATCGTCCCCAAAGCTGACCATCTTAATACCGCCTGGTGGTAGTACTGTTACCAATCTTTTACCTGATTCGCCCTAGAGTCCGAGCAAGTCCGAGTGTCCGAGCGGTCCGAGTGTCCGATTGTCCGAGTCTTCGGCTTCCCTCGTCCACCCACAACTCTCGCTCTCACTCTCTCACCCTGCTGCGGCCGCTGTGCTCGCTCTGGCCCGAAGGCAGCGGCAGCGGCAGCACTCGCGCTCGGGTAGACGCACGAAGCGCCACCGAAGTATCTGACGGATACGCGGCCGCTATAGCTACATATTTGAGATTTCAGTCACTGACTGGCACACGCTTTGGAAACACACAGTGAGCGGAGCGTCCGCAGTCGCAGTAGCACTCGAACTCGAAGTCCGCTTATCCGTCGAGCGTTTTCGAATCATTCGAACCATCCATTCGATCCATCTTCTGGCGTATCTGAACCATTGCCCATCGTGATCGTGGCCGAGATATCGCGTATTCCCGCCATATTCGATGTTCCGGTTCTGTGTGAAATTGTGTTCCAAACGAGATCGAAACTATAATCTCATCGGAAGGAAAATTTTTGAAACAAGAAAGTTCGTTTTGAAATCAAAGTTGAATTGCCGGCCCATCGAGTCGTTACAATTTTTGAAAAAGGCCGCATAAATCGTAAAGTTTACGAGCGGAAAAATATATATTAAAAAATATATATATTATAGTGCTGTGTTTTTTGGAAAATACCTATATAAAATGAATATATATATGGGTGAATTGTTGTTGCAATAAGTTTTATAAAAAAAGTGTGCAAAGTGCAACTACTCTCCCAACATCGAGTCCGAAAAACCACGCGTCCAAAAAAAGAATCGTAAAACTGAAAAAAAGGCAAATAAACATAAAATAAGGTGCGTAAATTGTTCTCTTCAAATGGTGTTACATAATTTCGTTTTTTTTTTTTTGTAGTTTTTGTAGCTCCCTAAATAATTGGTTGCAAAATACTTAACGAAAAGCGTGTTCTTAATCCAATAATTAATAACCAAGTTTGTGTCGTACGATTTATATAACCAAAGTTTAAATGTTGGG